GGGGGGGGGGGGGGGCGTGTGGGGCTTACGCCCCCTCCACCCTCGCCCGAAAAAAAGAAGGAAGGAAGGGCGCTTGTATTTGGTAATTATTCATGACGGATTGGACTCAAACTGCATATTAGGTGCTTTAAAATTTCGAAAATTTTCTGGAGGAGGCCCCCCGGACTCCCTCTGTTCGAAGTGCTTGTATCCGCTTAAGTCTATCAATTTCAATAATCAGTCCACTTGGAGGTCATTTTCCCCGCTTGAATCTCCCAGAGTGCCGAACTAACAAACCAGCTCTACACTGAAAAAAAAAATTCTCGGCGTTTTTACCAAGGTCCGTTGGCACCTTTACCATCTCACTTTTTTTTACCATTTCTTGGTAATTTTATCAAGACAGACTGGTAAGCTTACCTACAAACCGGTATTTTTACTGTTTTCTTCAGGTAAGAATACCACTTTTATTGGTAATCAATTCCCGGTAACTTTGCCATTTTATCTCGGTAATTCTACATATATCACAGTCGATAACAAATATTGGCGTTTTTACCAAGGTCCAGTAAAATTACCGAGAAAGTACAATAATTTTACCGAGATTTCTCGGTAAAATTACCAATTCCATAAATGGTGATTTTACCAAGAAAAAACTGGGATCAAATAGAGCCCTGAATTCTTGGTAGTTATACCCTTTTCTTAGTAAATACACCGGGATTTTTTTTTCAGTGTATATACCTTCTTGCTTCCAGACCCCCAGTTGGATTACATTTTGCAATGAGGAACCACTATCTCCGCATATCCGCATAGGGAAACCAATGGCACATATGTTGTTTCTAAAATGAGCTAGAAATAGTGGTTCCTTATTGCAAAATGTAATCCAGTTTACTGCCGCGAATCATCGCATCCTCCTTTTAAACTTGTTTAACTGTCTCTTGACCTTTTTTAGAGGATAGAAACTACGAAGTCTACGATCCATTCAGCACAGATCTGTTGTGGCGAGTAAGAGCGGGCGATCGAGGTGACAGCCAATACGCGAAAAATCTGGCGACTTACATTTTCACGAATGAAGTTCTGGCACAATCGTCTATCACAGGGCAGCCGTATCGTAACAAGAAAGGAGCCGTTGCTAAACCTGCATTGGATGGACATAAACTGGAATACTTGAGACGTGAGTAGCGAGTATATCATGCACAGTGTACATTTAAGAGGTATTCTTGAGAGGCGTAGGTACACTGAAAATAAAAGTTAGGTTGATGTAACATTCTGGATGTAGGAAAAATGTGCGAGAACTTATAAAATGCTGCGAATTACCCAGGGCCGAATTAAGGGGATGGCCACATGGACCGCGGCCCATGGCGGCAAATTTAGGGGGGCGGCAAATGTTCTAATTTTTTCAAATGTAGGTATCAAGAAAGAAAATTACAAACGAGAATAGGCGAAAAAAGCTCTCATTTTCTGAGAATTAAAGTATAGTAATTTCTAATTTGTTCGTCTTTCGGTGATACAAGAGACAGAAGTGGAGAGAGAATCCAAACGCGCAATTTGGCCCGGAGTGGCGCGGCGCAGAGAGCAATGATGACGAGGACTTGAGATGGAAAGGAGAAGCCCTCGGCGCGCCGGTCAGCATGATACACATATTAGCGCCTACAAGACTCCATGAATACTTCACGCATTGCGTCAAACGTAGTGCGGTCAGCAGCGATCGGCGCGTGAAATGCATAGCGCCTACAAGACTGAAGAGATACTTCATGCATTGCGCCAAACACAGTGCGGTTGGCGCGGTGGTGGAAATTAAAAACATTAAACCACATTCATGTTTATTCTTTCAAAATATTTTCGTTCTTTTCTTGGAAATGAAAGGCTTCGTCCACACAGAGATAGGTTTACGGAACTTAATGAACGAACGAATGAAAAGGGGCGGCAAAATAAAGGCGGCCCATGGGCGGCAGGTAGGTAAATCCGGCCCTGGAATTACCCACCGCAGCAGTTAGTTTTACATCTCGGCATTGCTGAGGTAACTGCTGTAGTGTGTAATTCGATCACCATTTTATAAACTCTCGCTTACTTTTTTTTACAGTCAGAATGTTAAATCAACTTCACTTTTTTCCCGGTGTACCCATTTTCATGAAGTATAGTACCGGATCGGTATTTACGCTCTCTACATCACCGCTCTGATTTTGGGAAAATAAAGAGAGAGAAACAGTGCCAGTACACTGATGAAAATATTTGTGTTCTTGTGCTTACTTTTGGTTAATATAGGAAGTGACACAAACCAACGCGAATTTTTTGTTGATTTTGGTACAGTTTGCATGAATTTAGCGCAGAAAACAACGGAGAGGCCGGGAAAATGCGTTCTATCAATTACGACGTTTGTATTCACCTCTCGCTTTTTATTGAATTTCTTCCAGAATACCAGCTGGCATTTTCTCTTGAAAGTGTCAACGAAAGGCTATGGTCATTTTGTGTTTTACTTCTTGTAGTAACCAAACTTTTGTGTTGAAATATCTCTCTGTGTACCATTTGACACGTTCTACCCTCTGCGACTGATGATCTGAGGCTTTTCCAGTTATTTTAATTGAACGGTATCGAAAATAAAATTTACGAAAAGGAGTGCCGTCAAGAAAACCAGAACTGCCATAGATATGCGTGCCGTGGTAATAATATTAATGAAGAACCCTCGGTCCTCGCAGTGCGTACAATCGTAAAAATATTGAGGAGCACTTGCCTTCGTTCCGCTCACACGGTCTCAACGTTCGCGGCGCGCACGCCTTTCCGGCACGCCATGTGCAATGAGAATAATCCTTTTGTTTAACGTTATTTTCCTCAATTTCTCTTTCGAAAGAAAGCTAAAACTAGGAATCCATAAAATATGGTAGCTTTTGAAAAAGGAAAAAAGGGGAAAACTACAGTTAGCGCACATAAACGGATAGATATTTTTGCTTCGTATCAATTTTCCGTTTCATCTTGTTTCAGAAATTTTCATCCTCCGCCTTAAAGAAGAGTTCAAGGGGAAAAATGACATCAAGTTCCAGGCAGCCATAGAGAAACGTGCAAATCGGAAAGTATTGGAGAACTACATCCGGGAGAAGATCTGCACTCTTGGTCGCTTATTTCATACTGCTTAGGTCTGCCCCCCCCCCTTCCTCCCAATCAGGAGATTCTGGTCTTCTTCTCCCACTAGATTTTTGTTTGTTTGTACAAATTAAGCTTCTTTAGATACCTCCACTGTTGTGCTCATCGTTTTATTACAGCTCGGAGCCCATGGGCTGACGAATTTTTGTCTAGAAGAGGTAATAAGAAAATGGGAGGAAAATTATTTTGACAAGTAAAACTTTTTGAAACGATATGAGATTTTTAATTTTCATGTATAATTTAATGCTTAAGCTCACCTTTTGCTATTTTGCACGGGCAATGATAGTGATGTTTTAATCAAAACAGTACCTAGGTCAGGGCCGGATTAAGGGGATTGCCACATGGGCCGCGGCCCATGGCGGCAAATTAAGGGGGCGGCAAATTTTGCAATTTTTTAAATGTAGGTATCAAAAAAGAGATAAAAAAATCGGATTCAGAAAATAAATTACAAACGAGAAAAGGCGACAAAATCTCTCATTTCCTGAAGGTAAAAGTGCAGTAATTTCTAATTTTATCGTCTTACGGTGATACAAGAGACACCACCTTTAATTAGTCGAGTTAAGAGAGAAACCAAACACGCAATTTAACCTGGAACGGAGCGGTGCGGCGGTCGGCATGAAACGCATAGCGCCTGCAAGACTGCATGAATACGTCACGCATTGCGTCAAACACAGTGCGGTCAGCAGCGGTCGGCGTGAAGCGCATAGCGCCTACAAGACTGCATGAATGCACGCATTGCGTCAAACACAGTGCGTTCAGAAGCGGTCGGTGTGAAACGCACAGCGCCTATTTGACTGTAGGAATGCTTTACGCATTTCGTCTAACACAGTGTGGTCAGTTTGTTCTTTCATAATTTTTTCGTTCATTTCTTATAAACGGAGGGCCTTGTTCACATAGAGAGATGTTCACGGAACTCAACTTTTGCGCAAAGTTCCGTGAACTTTTGCTGGTAATGTTGACACGGCTTCGCAAAAAATGTGTCCAACACGAGTAAACGCGTCTTATGCACCCCTCCTCGCTGCGCGTTCACTTGATGGTTTTTATGGTTTGGAATGAGAAGGGGGCGGCAAAATACAGGCGGCCCATGGGCGGCAAGTAGGTGAATCCGCCCCTGACCTAGGTGCACAAATAGACCAACAAAGCAACAAAATTAAGTCAATGCAACAATTTCAGTTTTTTTGGGCTCCTTTTTTCCTTGACGCCATCGTATTTTTTTTTTTTTTTTTTTTTTTTTTTTTTTTTTTTTTTTTTTAAGGTAAAATAAAAAGATTCTTCAATTTTCAAATTGACGTATTAATGCCAAAAGGAACGATGTACATTGTGCATAAGGTTTGCGTGAGATACGAGGGTTGTCCCAAAAGAAACCGGACTTTTGTCACAGAATGCTAACCGAGCGTCATAATGAAGTTTTCTTGGGCTTGTTTGAAAGCTGATAAGCTACTGAAGATGCTTGTTTTTACAGAATGCAAAAATTCGTCTTGGTAAGGAAACTACACGCTTTGGAATAGAGGAAAGTCAAACTGGAGTTGCGATTTTTGTCTTTATTTCAAGAAAAATTTAGATACAACTTTAAAAAAAACCAGGTTTTAAGTTAAAAACTTCGCTGCTCTCTTATTCAAATGCTTAAAAATAAGGAAATTAACATTTTAAGCAGCTTACCAAGACATCACCCATCCCCTTCATAATACTCGCCAGCTTTGTCGATGCATTTTTGCCACCGTTTCTTCAATTAGGCGAGGAGATAGAGGGGTTTAAAAAAGGGGTAATTTTTGCACTTTAGGGGGGGCGGGGGAGGGTAAGCAGAGTGGGTAAAAGCAAGGACTTTTTGGGAAATACTATACTTTTGAAGTATATAATCGATGGTAAAAAATTCAGCTTTTTTCTAGTTGGTTCCACTAAAATCCCTTCGTTGACTGGACTATTAATTCCTGAGGCACGCTGCCTCTTCTACCTACTTTTCACCCGTGGATGTGGGGTAAAACGTGATCTCTAATAAATTGTATCCCTTCATTGATTGCCGCTTTGACCGCAAACGAATATACTGACGGCAGATGACTCCCCCCACGTGTTTGAAGATCATGATTTTTTTTTCTTTTTTTTTCTTTATTGGTGAGATAGGTAACTACAGAGTATTAATCCTAATTATGCTAGCTATAAGGTATATACAATATTGAATGGGTGGGTCGGTCAGGAGACAGTCCCTAGCTATTTACAATGAATATAAATGCTATATACAATGATTAATTTAGATAAAAAGAAGATTATGATACTGGCTTTACATACTCGTGAGATGCTCAGCTTTTCTATGACCGACGAGTTCTCTTTGATTAGAGGTAGTTGCAGTATAGCTGGTCAATATCGTGTGAGGCGTTGTGGGCAGATATGACGTCCACCTGTGCGATGTTAAACACGTGAGCAATGGATTTTTTGATACATACAATCTGATAAACGGGTATCCCATTCATATTTAACGTGCCCCACGAGTGTAGTCGAATTGGTGACGAACAATGATTCGAACACGTTTACTAAAGTGTCTAAATTCGCATTTTCGTGAAGCATATAGTAAGGCGTGCAAGTGTTGAAACGGACGAATAAATGTTCAAAATCAGAGGTATGATTTTGTAAATGATTAACAGAGTAAACAAAGCTATCAGCCTCCTTTTTTGCTCCCTCTAATTCAGATTTGAAATTCGGCGTTAGATAAACTTTCAGATCTTTGTCCGGAATTTGTAACGCGTATAATGTCCGATTTTCCGACGATTGCACGTCCAGTTTTGTACCATCGACATATTCAGCATTGGTTAGAAGAGTCCAGTAAGACTCCTCCGTTTTGGCAGATCTTTAAATATTAAATCCTCGTGGATTACTTTTCTTAATGACCGTCCACTAAGGAGAAAATAGAGGTCTTGCATGCCGTACCTGCCTGTAAACTTAATAGGATATCTGATAATCTCTAGAGAGCCTGACTTTGCCCAGTAAACATCGAACTCACCATCTTCAAATGCTGACACAACAGCGAACGGGTCGAATATGACATAATTACCAAAGTGGTACCCGTCATACCACTCTTGAAATTCCTTATACGACAAGTTTGTCTCTAAGGAATCAATAAGCCATTTCACTTCGTGTTCCATGAAACCAAAGTAGGGTCCGAATTTATCATCTTTAAGGGTCGTGTAGGCTTTAAAATTTGTAAGATCAGAAAATATACTGTTTTTTGCCACATAACTAATCCCGATGATTAAGTACATACCACAATCAGGAAAGAAGTCTAGACCGTCCCTGAAGAAGAAAATGTAAAATTTTCTCATCATGTCTACAGTTGTATGGTACGAGGGGCGTTCAATAAGTAAGTATCCCCCCCCTCTAAAATCCATTAGAATGAACCAATTTTAAAAAAAACTTGGGCTCAAAATCTTTCTTAGGATATTTTGAGTTCAACAAAACAAACCGCAACAAAATCGGACCATGTCCGGCCGAACGCGAGCCGTTTGAACGCGCCGAGGTGCTCGACGCTCCCGCCGAATCCGCGAGGATTTGAAGTCCGCTACAGGAGAAGAGCTTCTCTGCCAAAGCCTCGCAGTCGTTCATCACTGACGAAAAATCAAAGAAATTTTTGTAGAATAAGGAGCTTACCTCACTTCTCCACATAACCAGCTCGATCCAAGCAAGTCTGATACTGAGTCTAAGAGAACAGCTTTTGGATGCCTCGCGCGTGGAAGTCTTTCAGCTGACCGGGGATGAAAGAGTGGACGGCTTGTTTGACCTCTTCCCCTAATTCAACATTAACTCCTCCAAGTTCAGATTTCAGATACGATAATAAATGGCAAACCAGACCACCATTTATTCCCGTTCCTGAAATCTGAACTTGGAGGAGTTAATNTGACTTGCCGAAGCGACGGGGTCGCGTAATCAGCTTGAGTTTACGTCCTGTCAATGCTTCCGCGATCCAGGCGGTCTTATCCACAATCAAATTGTTATCTTTTACCATTCTTTCGAAATCAGACGTTCCATATGGTAGCTCCCTCTCCAAGTCATGGCGGCATGAACCTAAAACGAAGAAGAAAATGTATTAAGGGTAAGTAAAGAGGTATAGTATACATGTGTGCGACGGATACCCTGATAAAAATTGGCAGTACTACCGCTCTCTTTTTGTGCCGTAGTATCTTTATATATTTTGCGAGGAAAGCTCCGTACTTTTGAAGGATGCCTGTCATTCTTAATATGAAGGAGCGCCTTCAATTTCTTATGATACTGTGCAATACCTCTGGCGTGAAATAGTTGCTTCATACGCCGTGACACGCTGCGGCGCGGCGGGCGGGCAGAGAGCGCGAAACGCGCATTGTCGCCTACAAACCTAACAGGGATACTTCACGCATTGCGCAATGCGTGAAGTATCCCTGTTAGGTTTGTAGGCGCCGCGCCAGTGCGTCGCCGCTCTGCTTTGTGCTAGGCTTTAATATTTAATCTCGCGGAGTCAGCGTTTTTCAACTCATGATTCTGAAATGTTTACACACTCTCTATGGATTATTCTCATTTTAATTGATGAAAAAAATATGTTTTAAAGGAAAATATAACGTGTGTTTTGTAAACATTAAGGTAGTTCCGTATCAAACTTAATGATTTCCAAAGCACACGAATTTCTACACAATTTCTTATAGCCTTTTATAGCCAATGTCGATGAAGTGTAAAGCCCGGCGATAGAAACTATAGCCCGACTGTATACTTTTTTATAGCTTCGTATAGCCCGGCTATATGATTTGCTCCGCTTTCTACAGCCAGCTATATGATTTTCAATAGTCTTCTTTAGTCAGCTATAAGAACTCCTATGGTATTTTGAAACGCAGCTCCTATCGCCAATTTTTACCAGGGTAGACAGTGGTGGTTAGAACATCTTTACGCCTTTTCTATTCTGTTAATCCTCTTTAGAAATTTTGCCCCCCCCCCCTTTCTAAGCCTTCTGTTTTTGTCTAATATAAAAAAACCTCGGTCCTATTTTCAAATTCTGATCACAACGGGCTCATCTAGGGACTATCACCTGTCGATAACCGCAAAAATAATGGAAATCGGCCCAGTAGAACGCTCAAACGAGCTACGACAAAAAAGAAAAAATTACATTGTTTAAATGGGAGATTTTGCAACACTACCACGTAATATAAAAAAACCCAAGTCATATTTTCAAAATTCAAATAGAGCGGGCTTATCTAGAGAC